GTCAGTGTGCGTGTGTGACAGCGTCAGAGTGGGTGTGTGACGGCGTGAGTGTGCGTGTGTGACGGCGTCAGTGTGGGTGTGTGACGGCGTCAGCGTGGGCGTGTAACGGCGTCAGTGTGGGTGTGTGACGGCATCAGTGTGGGCGTGTGATGGCGTGAGTGTGCGTGTGTGACGGCGTCAGTGTGGGTGTGTGATGGCGTGAGTGTGCGTGTGTGACGGCGTCAGTGTGGGTGTGTGACGGCGTCAGAGTGGGTGTGTGACGGCGTGAGTGTGAGTGTGTGACGGCGTCAGTGTGGGTGTGTGACGGCGTCAGTGTGGGTGTGTGACGGCGTGAGTGTGCGTGTGTGACGGCGTCAGAGTGGGTGTGTGACGGCGTCAGTGTGCGTGTGTGACGGCGTCAGTGTGGGTGTGTGACGGCGTCAGTGTGGGTGTGTGACGGTGTGAGTGTGGGTGTGTGACGGCATCAGGCGGGTGTGTGACAGCATCAGTGTCCGTGTGTGACAGTGTCAGCGTGGGTCTGTGATGGCGTCAGTGTCCGTGTGTGACGGCGTGAGTGTGCGTGTGTGACGGCGTCAGTGTGCGTCTGTGACGGCGTCAGCGCGGGCGTGTGTGACGGCGTCAGTGCGGGCGTGTGTGACGGCGTCAGTTGGGTGTGTGACGGCGTCAGCGTGGGTGTGTGACGGCGTCAGCGTGCGTCTGTGACAGCGTCAGCGCGGGCGTGTGTGACGGCGTCAGTGCGGGCGTGTGTGACGGCGTCAGTTGGGTGTGTGACGGCGTCAGCGTGGGTGTGTGACGGCGTCAGCGTGCGTCTGTGACGGCGTCAGCATACGTCTGTGACGGCGTCAGCACGGGCGTGTGTGACGGCGTCAGCGTGCGTCTGTGACGGCGTCAGCGCGGGCGTGTGTGACGGCGTCAGTTGGGTGTGTGACGGCGTCAGCGTGGGTGTGTGACGGCGTCAGCGTGCGTCTGTGACGGCGTCAGCGTACGTCTGTGACAGCGTCAGCACGGGCGTGTGACGACGTCAGCGCGGGTGTGCAGGCTGAGACCCGGAGGGCAGCGGTGTCAGCCCCGGCCCGGGGCTGGGGAGGCGGGAACCAGGGGTCTGAGTCTGAGGGCCGGAGCTGCCGGGCGTCCCAGCGCAAGAACAGGCGGGAATGCACCGCCTGCCCCTGCTCCGGTCTGTGGACCCCCGGGGGATGGGGTGGAGCCGCCCACATTGTGAGGGTGGACCCCTTCTCTCAGCTCATCTCTTCCAGAGTCTCTTTCGCAGACACGCCCAGAAATTCTGTTTTTACCAGCACTGGAGGCTCCTTAGCCCAGGCAGGTTGACACATAAATTAATGACCACAGTTAGAATGGTGTATTTCCCCTAAAATCTGGCCCGACCCTGGCCCCAGGTAGACAGGCGGATAGGTGGGCGCTTAGCAGAGGGAAGTGTGGAGGGCTGGCATTCCTGGAGAGGTTCCTGAATATTCTATACTCATGGATTTGAAAATTAATATTGTTGAAATGACTATATTACCCAAGGCAATCTGAAGATTCAATTCAATCCCTATTGAAATACCAATGGGAGTTTTCACGAATGAGATGAACAATTCTAATATTTCTATGGAAATACAAAAGACCCCCTAATGGCCAAAAAAAAAAAATACAGAGGAAGAGGAATAACACTGGAGGGATTATACACTCTGATTTCAAACTATACTACAAAGTTACAGTGATTGGATCAGTATGGTAGTGTCACAAAAACATACTTCAGCACAAATCACTGTGGTGGTGCACAAAAATGTGCACTGTTGGGGAATGTAAACTGGGGCAGCCACTGTGGAAAACAGCACAGAGGTGCCTCAAAACATTAAAAATAGGGCTGCCACGTGATCCAGTCAAGGTCCATTCTGGTGTTGACCCAAAGAAAACAAAAACACTAATTCACAAGGATATATGCATGGCGATGCTCAATGCATCATTATTTACAATAGTCTGGATATGAAAACAGCTAATTGAGCATTCAGCAGACGAATGGACAAAGGAGATGTAGTGTATGTCTGAATCTCTTGCACTCGTTTTCTGTGAGTAATCCTTTATACCTATATAGTTCTTGTTTTTTATGACTGGGGTTTCTCTGGTGGCTCAGCTGGTAAAGAATCAGCCTGGAATGTGGGAGACCTGGTTTGATCCCAGGATTGGGAAGATCCCCTGGAGAAGGGAACAGCTGCCCGCTCCAGTATTCTGGCCTGGAGAATTCCATGGACTGTATAGTGCATGGGGTCACAAAGAGTCACACACGACTGAGTGACTAAGCACAAACTCTCCTGTTAACTTCATGTTATTCCACCAGGAGGAGCACAGACAGGCTCTTTCACTTTTTCTATGACCGAGTAATAATGTTTTATACATATGTGTGTATATATGTATAAATCTCGGCATTTGTAACAACATTTGTGGACCTAGAGGGCATTATGCTAAGTGAAACAAGTCAGATACAGAAAAACAAATTCCTGTGTGATCTCATACATGGAATCTAAAATACAAAACAAAGAAAAGAGTCTGAGAGAGACCCAAAGAAACAGAGAGTGAATGGGTGGCTGCAGGAAGGAAGGGGGCCTGGAGGGCAAAGCACTGCAGAGGACAAGCATGCAGTTACAGATAAGTTGCGAGCATATAACTGCAGCGTGAGGAATACAGTCAGTGATGCTGTAATAAATCTGTGTGGGGATGCATGGTTACCAGACTTACTGTGGTCCTCATTTCAGAACATATGCAAATATAGAATCTTTATGAGGTGGACCTGAAACTAACAGAACACTGCACATCAGATATATTTCAATAAGATAAGAGAAATGAGGAGACTTCCCTGGTGGTCCAGTGGTTACAACTCTGTGCTTCCACTTCGGGGGGCAGAGTTTCTGGCTCTCTGGAACTAAGATCCCCACACACCATGTGGCCAAAAAAAAAGTGAACCTCCACTAGATAGGAATATCCACAATAAACACATCTGACAAAAAGTCACATGCCTAATAAGAAAGAGAAAGCATCCCGTTATTTAGTAAAAGTAATAATAATAATAGTTAGTTAACTAAGTTTTTAAATGAGAAAATGATTCAAATAGACATTTCGCAAAAATAAAATTAATGTCCAAATGGCCAAGGACAGATGGAAAATTTCACAAGTTCATTAGTTACCAGAGACATGCAAAATAAAACCACAAAGTACCACTGCCCCTCACAGCAAGGCAAAAATAAAAAGGTGGGAAAGTGGAGGGGCGGGTGAGGACGTGGAGTAACCAGAATGCTCAGAGTGTGAACTGATGCTATCACTGCGAAACATATTCAGAAGTACCTACTAGAACTGAATAAATGCACAGCACAACACACGGCAATTCCATTCCGAGGTTTATTCCAACAGAAACGCACATATACGCTTACCACTGAACATGAATTAACACATTCAAAGCAACACTTTCCATCCTAACATAAACTGGAAGCTAAGCAAATGCCTCTTTACACTAGGGGGGATGTACGTGTGGTGGTGATTCACACAATAAAATACTCCACAGCACCCAGGGTGTTGGACAAATCTTAAAATATTCGGTTGGGCAGAGGAAGCCCCACCCCCACCCCCACACACACAGAGGCTGCCCAGAATATTCAGGCTGAGATAAAGAACCATAACACGCACATTTAACCCGTGCTGTTGAAGTCAGCAAAGTCATTACCTTTCAAGAGAAGTTACTGGAAAACGTGAGTGCTCAATTTGTGAAAATTAACCAAGCTGTGCATTCAACATGTGCAATTTTTTGTGTATTATACTTCAGTCAAAGTCAACACTCACACACACAGGAACACATCAGTGAAAAACTGCTGAAAAATCCAAAGACAAAACCTTAAAAGCAGGGGGGGAAAGACACATAATTTTCAAAGGAGCAACAAGAGGAGGTACAGTTTATCTGAGCAGAAGTGATTAATGCCATATTTAATGTGCTGAAAAAGCTAACTGCCAACCTAGAACTCTAGGACACGAGGAAACAGCCGTCAAAACTGGAAGGGAAATAAAGACATTTCAGTGGGCAGTGAGAAACTGTACTCATCGCCAACAGACAGCCAGGTTTTCTCAGCCCAAACCGCATCCTCTCCACGCCCCCTTCCCCAGTCCAGGGTTGGAGCACAGCCCCTCAGACAGAACTAGGCTTCTGTTAATAGGAGACTGAGCCCCGGCTGCTGTGGAGACCGCCATCACCGTCTGGCAGAGCTCCCCCTGGGAGAAGCAGCTGTTCCCTGGCCTCGGGACGGAGGGATTCCGTCCAGGGGATTCCACGACGGGGCTCCTGTCCTGCGGGCTCCGTGTGCGCGCACGCCCTCCCATGCCCCGCCCCTGCTCTCATTTCAGCACCCAGCTGGGGGCCCCAGCGGGTGCCAAGCCCAGGGCCAGGTCCCGAGGTCTGTCTCCCCAGCACTCAGCTCTGGGATTCCGTGTGTGCTCACGGGCCAGCCCCGCCTCCCCCGGTCCCAGCACCGCCCGGGAAACGGGCAGACAACCCACGTGATAAGATATTTTTAATGCACTCGATCCCTCCGGGAATGTACCATATACCGCAATATTAAACACTCAGAGGAGGATGTCGGGTTCTCCAATTTCAATACGAGGAACCGTTGGCGTAAAGTGATGTAACTCTTTGCCCAAGAACGGAGTCGGGACCGACGGTCAAGTCGGCGTGCGGCACAAAGTGTGTTCTGCTCACGGGTGGAGAATGGGGCTCCCCCCTCGGGGTGCACCCGAGAGAAGTTGAACCTCGTGGGAGCCCAGAGGGAGGAACAGCTAAGGGGCGCCGCGGCCCCTTAGCGGGAAGTGTGCCGGGCGGGGAGGGCGCTCTTCCCCTTTGTGTGAGGCTGCTGGTGTGGAAACGGCCCCAGAAAGGCCCGGCGGCACATCCCCTTCTCCGGCGGGCTGCAGGCTCCGTCCCTCAGCACCGACTCCAGGACGCCCCGGGACACGGCTGGGCCATGGCGCCCGGGCCCCCCACCCTCCTGGGCCTGGGTGAGTCCGGGGGTGCCGGGGCCGGCTTCCAGGGGCAGAGGGGCTCCGCTCAGCCCTGACTCCAGCCCAGGAGACACCGGGGTCCTGGGGGGCAACGCGGTTCCCTCTCCATCCCCGGGACGCCCTCAGCTTTGGCCCAGACTGAAGTGACAGGGAAGGTTCGGTCCTGGACGTGGGGTCGGGTGTGGGGTGAGTGCAGACTGAGCCGGGCTGGCCTGCAGGAGGGTTGGGGTTGTCTGAGATTACTTCAGAGCGATGAGACGGCTTGTACTCAGACGTGATGTTGCCGGGGGGAGGGGGGGGAGCGTTGGGACATCATGGGAAGACGCCCACCCACCCCACGGCTCCTCGAGGCCCCGGGACTGCAGCCCCTGAGGAAACCGCAAGATGGGCATCTTCTCACTAGTGCTTCTCTTCCAGCGCTCTGTCTGGCCCAGATGGCCTGCACCCAGCAGGGTGAGTCTCCCCCAAACCCCTGTCTCCCCAAGGCGGACCTCGATGAGAGCGGAGCGGACCCTGGGGGTCTGGGGGCCCTGGCTTATACCCCGAGACGCCAACAGCCCCAGTGCGGGAACCTGGCCTGGGTCTCCCCTGTCCCCTCTCTGCCCTCGATGGCCCCGCAGGGACGACCCGACCCTCAAGACCCGGCTGAGCCCGCGAGCTCGCCCCCTGCAAGCCCAGACCGCCCCCCGCAGCCCCATGCAGAGAACAGCCTTGCCCTGGCAGACAGCCTGCCGTCGCCTCCAGCCTCCCCTGCACTCCCCCGTGAGGCTGGCCCGCTCTCTGGGTTTTCTTTCACTTTCTGAATCTCCCCGCCCAGCCCGGCCCTCCCCACGGTGACCCCTCCGCCCTGCCCCTCAGCCCGGACTGTCTTCCACGTCTGCTCAGCTCAGGAACACCCTCCCTCGACCCCTGGGGGGGCAGCTCGGCCTCCAGTCTGCCCCCCTCCCCGAGATTCCCACACTCACCCCGAGGGCACGCATCACCGCCCATACCCATGGGTTCACACAATTGTTTGTGAACAGCCTGTCCCCTCTGGACTGTCAGCCCCAAGGGGGCAGGCACCGGGGTGTTTCCTGTATTTGTGAAACCAGAGGCACAGGCAGAAGTCAGTAAATGGATGGGCTGGACTAGATGTGGTGGAAAGAAAGAGGAAGGGGGTGAGGTGTGAGGAGTGAGCTCTCGGCCCCTGCCTCTGTGGGGACTTCGCTGACTCTGAGGCCAACTTCCTGCTTCAGGGCTGCAAGCCCCCACCACACCCCCCACTGCGCCCCCAGTTGAGATACGTGGGGTTTCCAGAAGCCTCAGTGACAAGGACACGGAAGTACACTGGGATGGAGGCAGAGAATACTGAGAAAACCCAGGGATGGTCTCTGCAGACTCACCCTGGACACCGACCCTCACCCGCCAGGGAATGTGAGACCAGACCTGTGCTCCAACTCCTCCACACACATGCACATACATGCACACACATACATGCATGTGCACACACATGTACACACATGTGCACACATCCACATATACACGTGCACATACACACACCCACGCACACCTGCACACACACATGCACCTGCATATACACACACATACATGCCAGACACACGTACACACACACATCTGCCCACATACACCCACATATGCACTCACATACACACACACACCCACACACACATGTGCACACCTGTATACATAGACACACGTGCACACACATATACACACACCCACATAGACACATATGCACACACCCCTGCACACACACATGCACATGCCCCTGCACACACCCACATATATACACACACACATGCATACAGACACACTCCCTACACTTCCACAGTCTGCAATTCATGACCCTCACCCACACGATCTCTCCCAGGACAGGCAGCTGCCCTTCCCTTCAGACCCAGCCCAGGTCACTCCTACCCACTCAGAGCCCTGCTCTCCTCGTCCCAGGAATGACCCGGTCATTCCCACCTGTGTCCCATCCCCCTCTCCCAGGAGTGGCCGTGGGCATGGAAGGAGCCGCCCCCCACCCCCAGCAGACATGTCCAGGCCCCCAGCTGCTCTGTCACCTCCCATGTCACCCTGAGCGAGATGTGACCAAGTCTCAGGGTCCTTACGTCAATGGGAAAATAACCACGGTGACGGGAATTCACCTGCTCCTGGGGTGGGCGTGGGGGTGGGGCTGTCCGCTGCGGGGGTGATGGGAGCATTCTGAAACTGGATTGTGGTGAGGGTTGTACAACTTTGCAGGTTTCCAAAAGGAAAAAGAAGCGAGAGAGTAAATTGTGTCATGTGGTGATCTCCACTGAGAGAATTATGCTGTGGTCATTCTCTACTAAAAGGACAGAATGGTGTTTGTGGTGATTATCCACTAAGATGAGTGGGTTGTGCTCTGTGCTGATTCTCCACTAAGATGAGTGGGTTGTGTCCTGTGCTGATTCTCCACTAAATGAGTGGGTTGTGTCGTGTGGTGATTCTCCACTAAGATGAGTGGGTTGTGTCCTGTGCTGATTCTCGACTAAGGTGAGTGGGTTGTGTCCTCTGGTGATTCTCCACTAAGGTGAGTGGGTTTTGTCCTGTGGTGATTCTCCACTAAGGCGAGTGGGTTCTGTCCTGTGGTAATTCTCCACTAAGATGAGTGGGTTGTGTCCTGTGCTGCTTGTCCACTAAGATGAGTGGGTTGTGTCGTATGGTGATTCCCCACTAAGATGAGTGGGTTGTGTCCTGTGCTGATTCTCCACTAAATGAGTGGGTTGTGTCCTGTGGTGACTCTCCACAAAGATGAGTGTGTTGTGTTGTGGTTATTCCCCACTAACATAAGTGGATTCTGTCATGTGCTGATTCTCCACTAAGATGAGTGGGTTGTGTCCTGTGCTGCTTGTCCACTAAGATGAGTGGGTTGTGTCGTATGGTGATTCCCCACTAAGATGAGTGGGTTGTGTCCTGTGCTGATTCTCCACTAAGATCACTGGGTTGTGTCCTGTGGTGACTCTCCACAAAGATGAGTGTGTTGTGTTGTGGTTATTCCCCACTAACATAAGTGGATTCTGTCATGTGCTGATTCTCCACTAAGATGAGTGGGTTGTGTCCTGTGCTGATTCTCCACTAAGGTGAGTGGGTTGTGTCCTGTGGTGATTCTCCACTAAGATGAGTGGGTTGTGTCCTCTGCTGATTCTCCACTAAATGAGTGGGTTGTGTCCTGTGGTGATTCTCCACTAAGATGAGTGGGTTGTGTCCTGTGGTGATTCTCCACTAAGATGAGTGGGTTGTGTCCTGTGCTGATTCTCAACTAAGGTGAGTGGGTTGTGTCCTGTGCTGATTCTCCACTAAGGTGAGTGGGTTGTGTCCTGTGCTGATTCTCCACTAAGGTGAGTGGGTTGTGTCCTGTGCTGATTCTCCACTAAGGTGAGTGGGTTGTCTCGTCTGCCGATTCTCCACTAAGATGAGTGGGTTGTGTCGTGTGGTGATTCCCCACTAAGATGAGTGGGTTGTGTCCTGTGCTGATTCTCCACTAAGATCACTGGGTTGTGTCCTGTGGTGATTCTCCACTAAGATGAGTGGGTTGTGTCCTGTGCTGATTCTCCACTAAGATGAATGGATTGTGTCATCTGCTGATTCTCCACTAAGATGAGTGGGTTGTGTCCTGTGCTGATTCTCCACTAAGATCACTGGGTTGTGTCCTGTGGTGACTCTCCACAAAGATGAGTGGGTTGTGTCGTGTGGTTATTCCCCACTAACATGAGTGGATTCTGTCATGTGCTGATTCTCCACTAAGATGAGTGGGTTGTGTACTGTGCTGATTCTCCACTAAGGTGAGTGGGTTGTGTCCTATGGTGATTCTCCACTAAGATGAGTGGGTTGTGTCCTCTGCTGATTCTCCACTAAATGAGTGGGTTGTGTCATGTGGTGATTCTCCACTAAGATGAATGGATTGTGTCATCTGCTGATTCTCCACTAAGATGAGTGGGTTGTGTCCTGTGGTGATTCTCCACTAAGATGAGTGGGTTGTGTCCTGTGCTGATTCTCAACTAAGGTGAGTGGGTTGTGTCCTGTGTTGATTCTCCACTAAGGTGAGTGGGTTCTGTCCTGTGGTGATTCTCCACTAAGGCGAGTGGGTTCTGTCCTGTGGTGATTCTCCACTAAGGCAAGTGGGTTGTCTCGTCTGCTGATTCTCCACTAAGATGAGTGGGTTCTGTCATGTGGTGATTCCCCACTAAGATGAGTGGGTTGTGTCCTGTGCTGATTCTCCACTAAGATCACTGGGTTGTGTCATGTGGTGATTCTCCACTAAGGTGAGTGGATTGTGTCGTGTGCTGATTCTCCACTAATGTGAGTGGGTTGTGTCCTGTGCTGATTCTCCACTAAGATGCAAGAACTGCGGTCGCGTGCTGGTCTCAGGACAGACTGTGGGGTCCTGCTTTCCCCTCCCAGGGACCCTGCCCAGACCCTCCATCTCAGCTGAGCCGGGCTCCGTGGTGCCCTGGGGGCGGCCAGTGAGCATCGTGTGCCGGGGCCCTGCCGGGGTTATGACCTTCCGCGTGGAGAAGGACAATAAATACAACTACAAGGAAGTGGCTGTCACGTCCGGAGGTGAACAGGAGACGGAGGCCAGATTCCACATCACCGTCCTGCGTGAAGACGCCGTCGGGCGTTATCGCTGCATCTATCAAACAGAGTCCGGCTGGTCTGAGTGCAGCGAGGCCCTGAGCCTGGAGGGGACCGAGGAGGCCATCTCTGCCCTGCCCACAGGTGTGCCCAGGACCCCGCTGCGCCCTCTGCCCACCACCCATCCCCGCCCCCGGGCCCTCTGCCTTTGTCCCCTCTTCCCACGCGTCCCCCGCCTCCATGCCTGGCTCAGCTCCCCAAGCCTGGTCTCAGCGGGCATCACGGGGGCCTGGACGCTGAGCCCCAGCATCAGAGGGGCACACGGAGTGGGGACCATAGGGGATACGCTTACCGCTCTCGGGACAGAGGCGGGCAGGAGGGAAGATTCCTCTCTTAGAGCTCCATGTCTTCTCTCCTGACTCAGCCGCCCCACAAACGCGATGGGGTGCCTGAGTGTGTCTGGGATGGCCCTACTGAGGCCTGAAGGTATCTGGTTTCTCCAGACCCCGTGACCCTGCACGGCCCTTGGGGGAAATGTGGGTGCACAGTGGTCCTTCTCGGTGAGGTCAGCCCTCAGGACCCCCTGCCCCTGTGGCAGCTGAGGTGCCCCCCCCCCATATTCCTCACACTAGAGCTGCATGGCGCGACTGCAGTGAAGGGAGCAAGGTGTTCCCAGGGACCGCACGGCTCCTCAAAGGAGTGGAAGCAGAGAGCATGCCCACCCTCTGTCCCCACCTCCCCCTGCCCCCCTTCCTTGGAGTCCAGAGGGTGTCACCTCAACCTGAGAGGTGGAGCAGGGGGCCAGCTGGGTGGGACAGGTCGAAGCTCAGGCCCTGCACTGCTTCTGCCTGTTAGCAGGAGCCCGGGACCTCAGCGCCCCCTCACTGGCCCCCTCCTCGGGGTGGGGGGCAGGTGCAGGCCTCAGCCTGGGGCATCCACTCCAAGGGGCTCTGCTGGGGTGGTGGGCCCGGGTTTAGGGGGCAGGGACTGAGATTCTCTGAGCACTGGGCCCCCACCACCTTCTCCCAGCTCTGTACCCTGGAAGGAGGTGCGGACGCTCAAGAAAGCGGTCTCCTGGGGGGAGACCCAGAGACACCGACAGTGTGAGAAATAGCGTCAAGGGGAAGTGTGTGTGTGTGTATTTGCAAAGATACATATATCTACGTAGATTGTTGCTGTTGTTCAGTCGCTAAGTTGTGTCAGACTCTTTGTGACCCAATGGACTGCCACACACCAGCCTTCCCTGTCCTCCACTATTTCCCAGAGCGTACTCAAACTCACGTCCATGGAGTCGGTGATGCCATTCAACCACCTCATCCTCTGTTGTCCCCTTCTCCTGACTTCAATCTTTCCCAGCATCAGGGTCTTTTCCAATGAGTTGGCTCTTTGCATCAGGTGGAAAAGTATTGGAGCCTCAGCTTCAGTGTCAGTCCTCCCATTGAATATTCAGGGTTGATTTCCTTTAGGATGGACTGGCTTGATCTCCCTGGGATCCACTTGTGGCTCAGTGGTAAAGACAAAGATGCCGATACAGGAGACATGGGTTTGATTCCTGGGTCGGGAGGATGCCCTGGAGGAGGAAATGGCAACCCACTCCAATATTCTTGCCTGAGAAATCCCATGGACGGAGGAGCCTCGCGGGCTACAGTCCATGGGGTTGCAGAGTTGGACATGGCTTAGCAGCTAAACACCAGGAGCAAAGGTGTCCTTCCTCTCTGGCCTCGTGTTTGCAGCTGGCTCTGTAAGGACATATGTGCATAAACATGTGCACACGGTTTCAGAGTATGTTAAACTCTCTATGATGTGGACGTACGCTGCACGCAAACTTGAAGGGATGTGGGTCAAGGGCACACCCTGCGCCCTCTGAGGGGAAGTGGCTCCTGACACATGCTTTGGATGAGAACTAGCCGTGCTGAGTCCTCAGTCTGTCTGTCTGTCTGTCTGTCCTGCCCCCCCCACCCGCCTCCCTGTCAGTGAGACTGGGTTCAGGGTGCCCCCACCCCGCTGTTTGAGTGGACGCCTGCTCGCCTTCCTCATCCGGCACTTTGATGGAACGCTTCTCCTCCTCCCTCCCTGGCCCTACACACCTGGAGGCCCTGGTTCTGTCTCCCTTCAGCAGTGTCTGCAGTGAGGCTCTGACCTGGGAGGGAGGTGACTTGCCCAGGTGTCTGCTCCTCTCGGGGCTTAGCGGAGCTTCCAGATCCTGGAGTTCCGACGCCCACCAGCCCCACAGGGGGCAGGTGACGGGTCCCTGCATGGGACCCCACCCCAGACGCACAAGTGCCTAGGGGCCTGTTCACTGAAAGCTCTGGGCCCCGGCCCAAGGACCCCAGATGCTGGGAAGGAGGAGAGACCCCAAGGAAAGTGAGCTGAGTCATCCTTCCTCTCTCAGGGGGTAGGACCACAGGGGTTGCCCACACTGCGCCCTCCCCCGGTCTTGCCCAGGACGGCGGATGCTGGCACCCGAAGCTGTGGGAGGAGGGACCGGGGAAAACACAGGAGTGAACCAGGAGCTAAGGGGCTAGGACGACGTGGGCAGACCTCCCGTCCAAGCTCAGGGTGCTCCCCGCCCCCGACCTCTGAGCCAAGCTCGGGCTGGGAGCACGTGGGCAGCAATGGTCAAGCCCGAAGTCCCAGACATGGCCTCTGCACTGCGGGAGCAGGAGGCTGCTTCTCCAGGGGGTGGGGTGGACATGCGCTAGCAGTGATGTCTCCTCCAAACCCAAGACTTGCTTACTCCTGGGGAATTTGAGCGCCAGGGGGGCCCGCCTTAAATCCCTGAGCTTAATCAAAGGCAGGTCTGAATTTACCATCTTTGCGCTGCCCTCGGGGCCTCTGGTTGTGGGACCTGGGAGGGGGATCGGGGGAGGGGAGCTGGGGGACACACACCAAGCGTCTGGGGTGTGAGGGAGGGTGGAAGGGACAGAGGAAGGGACAGAGGAAGGGACAGAGGGGATTCCTTACGAGGGGAGGGTCTCAGGAGGCTGAGGCCAGCCTGAGAATCGGGGAGGCTGCCCCAGGCTGTCATCAGCTCTCTCTGACTCCTAGGAGGCTCCAGTGAAAGCCGACCCCAACCCACAGACTCCAGCTCCCAGACAGGTGATTCACCGGGGACTGCGCCCAGGGCGGGGCTGGCCAAGAGCAGGCGCTCGGGCCGCATGGGGGCGCGCCCGGGGTCTGGGCAGGGCTGCATCCTGGCCACCTGACCGTGAGCATCCTCCATCTTCTGCTTCCAGCCCACACCCCCCAGGACCACACGCTGGAGAATGGGGTCCGCTTGGGTGTGGCTGGCATGGTCTTGCTGATCCTGGTGGCGATTCTGGCCGAAGCCGGGCATGGCCAGGGGAGGTTCCAACGCAGACCACAGGAATGGAGACCAAAGGGTGCCCCCCAGAGAGACTGACCCCCAGGGGACCCAGGGCGGACATTCCTGAGGAATCGAGAATCTCCCAGGAAACCCAGCGCCCAGCGTGGCCGGGTCCTCATGGTGAACGCAGCCGGCGGCTGGCCTGCCCACCAGCATGCCTTCTCAGAAGCGGACACGCCCTGCGCCCTCCCAGGCACGTCAGCTACCTGTCTGCTGGGCTCCCCTCCATGCCTGGCCCTCCTCGCCACGCCCCCGCGCCCTCCTGACCTCCCTTCTCTCCAGGCTCTTCCCTCCAGCCTCTGCCTCCCACTTCCTCCCTCTCCTCCCTCTGGGCGTCCTTCCCACATCTGAGCGCACGATTCCCACCCTATCTCCCCACCCCGCCTCCTGGAGCCCCGAAACCCCAGCTGCTAAGGCCCTGGCTGCCTCGGTCACCACACCGGCCACCTGCCTTACCTGGGAAGCCCTGAACTGTGCCCGCCCCGCTCCTGCCTGCATCCTGTTTCCCGTCTTTCTGGAACACTCTCTGCCTTCCTGGGTCTGACTGTCGTCTCCTCGTGACCCCACGGTCCTGTAATAAAAGTCCAGGGGAAGAAATGTAAGTCAAAACCTCAGTGGCTCCTGTTATATTTAAAACGGATCAGCAACGAGGACCTACTGTGGAGCCCAGGGAACTCTGCTCGGCGTCACGGGGCAGCCTGGATGGGAGGGGAGCTTCGGGGAGAATGGATGTGTGAATGCTTATGTGGGTATGGCTGAGTCTCTGGGCTGTTCAGGTGAAACTATCACAACCATCGTTAATGGGCTGTATCCCAGTACAAAACAAAAAGTAAAACAAACCAAAACCCTCGGTGACTCATCAGCAAACAGTCATGAGGAGAAGGGAAAAGACAGGTGTCGGCAAGACGAGAAACCAGGACCCCTGTGCCCTGCCGGCAGGAATGCAGACTGGCGTGGAAGATGATCGATACAGCAGTTTCTCAAAAATTAAACACAGCATCGCCCTATGATCCAGCAATTCCCCTCCTGGGTAAGTGTGCACACAAACAAAAAACAGTGAAAACAGGACTTCAGCAGACATTTGTATCCCCACGTTCACAATAGCTAATGTAACCACATGTGTGAGTGCCTGCCAAGTCGCTTCAGTCGTGTCCGACTCTCTGCGACCCCATGGACTGTAGCCTGCCAGGCTCCTCTGTCCATGGGCTTCTCCAGGCAAGAATACTGGAGCGGGTTGCCATGCCCTCCTCCAGGGGATCTTCCCAACCCAGGGATCTTCCCAACCCAGGGATCGAACCCGAGTCTCTTGAGTCTCCTGCGTTACAGGGGGTTCTTCACCACTGCCCTTCCTGGGAAGCCCAAGGTAACCACAAGCCTCCATAGACTAGGAGAAGCTGAATCATCAGGTGACACAGGGGAGAAGCACTCAGCCAGGCAGTGCTGGCTTTTTTTTCCTGGCCACCCTACAGCATGTAGGCTCTCGGCTCCCCCAACCAGGGACTGAACCGGAGCCCCCCACACTGGAAGGCAGAATGTTAACCACTGGACCGCCGGGGGAGTCCGCAGAGCTGGCTTGGAACATGGAGGAACGGGCACAAGCCGGGGCAGGCAGGCAGGTGCCTTTGGCTGCTGAAAAAGGCACAAAAGAGGACTCTCGCCTTGAACCTCCGGGAGTAAACACAGCCCTGCAGACACCTCGGTTTGAGCCCCTGAGACCCACATCCGAGCTCTGACCTCCAGAGCCACAAGGTGATGAATCTGAGTTGTAAGGCATCGTGTTTGTGCTAATTTGCTTCAACCAAACAAGGACTCTCCCATCTGCTGACCCACACTTTGTGGTCTCGGGAGGGGCCCCCAGGCTTCTGGAATGTGATTCCAGGCAGGGCTTTCCTTATAAGCTCTCTGACTCTGCCCTGATCTTTCTTCCCAAGCCTCTGACCACCAGGCTCCCAAAGCCCAGCCTGGCGCCCCTCCTGTCTGGGGTCTGGAGGAGGTGCCTCAGCTCTGAGGAGTGGCAGTGTTAGGTCTGGATGCACGAGGAAGGATGAGTTACAGAGGGGACCAGGGTATCTGGAGGACCGTGGCAGACAGAGTCCATGCTTTCACTGGCTGAGACCTCCCAGGCGTCTTTCACCCTCCTATTGGGCGATTTCATTGTTATAGGCCCAAGAGCTTCCCCTGCTGGCCTCCTGACTCCTTAATTGAAGTTTCTGTTTATTATTATTTTTATAAAGATGACCAGGGTTACACAGAACTATACAAGAAAGATCTTAATGACCCAGATAACCACGATGGTGTGGTCACTCACCTAGAGCCAGACATCCTGGAATGTGAAGTCAAGTGGGTCTTAGGAAGCATCACTATGAACAAAGCTAGCACAGGTAACAGAATTCCAGTTGAGCTACTTCAAATCCTGAAAGATGATGCTTTTGAAGTGTTTCACTCAATATACCAGCAAATTTGGAAAACTCAGAAGTGGCCACAGGATGGAAAAAGGTCAGTTTTCATTCCAATCCCAAAGAAGGGCAATGCCAAAGATTGTTCAAACCATGGCACAATTACACTCATCTCACACGCTAGCAAAGTAATGCTCAAAATTCTCCAAGCTAGGCTTCAACAGTACATGAAACAAGAACTTACAGATGTACAAGTTGGATTTAGAAAAGGCAGAGGAAGCAGAGATCAAGTTGCCAACATCCCCTGGATCACAGAAAAAACAAAGGAATTTCAGAAAAATATCAGCATCCTCGGCTACGCTAAAGCCTCTGACTGTGTGGGTCACAACAAACTGTGAAAAATTCTTAAAGAGATGGGAATACCAGACCACATTACCTGCCTCCTGAGAAACCTGTATGCAGGTCAAGCAGCAGTGAGAAACGGACATGTCCCCGGTGGTCCAGTGGTTAGGATTTGGCATTCTCACTGCCCTGGTCTGGGCTCAATTCCCGGTCAGGGAAGCCTTTCTCCTTCCTCTCAGCCTGCCACCTACCAATCTCCCCAAAGAACCAGACATGGAACAACAGACTGGCTCAAAACTGGCAAAGGAGTACGTCAAGACTGTGTATTGTCTCTCTGCTCGTTAACGTATATGCAGAGTACATCATGAGAAACACTGGGCTGGATGAATCACAAGCTGGAATCAAGACTGCCAGGAGAAATACTGATAACCTCAGATATGCAGATGACACCACTCTAATGGCAGAAAGTGAAGACAAACTAAAGAGCCTCTTGATGAGGGCAAAAGAGGAGAGTGAAAAACTGGCTTGAAATTCAACATCAAAAATGAAGATCATGGCATCCAATCCCATCACTTCATGGCAAATAGATGAGGAAAAAGTGCAAACAATGACAGACTTTATTTTCTTGAACTCCAAAATCTGTGCATATGGTGACTGCTGCCATGAAATTAAAAGATGCTTGTTTCTTGGGAGAAAAGCTATGACAAACCTAGAGAGCATATTAAAAAGCAGAGACATTACTTTGCCAACAAAGGTCCATCTAGTCAAAGCTGTGGTTTTCCCAGTAGTCATGGATGGATGTGAGAATTGGACCATAAAGAAGGCTGAGCACTGAATGACTGATGCTTTCAAACTGTGGTGATGGAGAAGACTCTTGAGAGTCCCTTGGACTGCAAGGAGATCCAACCAGTCAATGATAAAGGATATCAGTCCTGAATATTCATTGGAAGGACTGATGCTGAAGCTGAAGCTCCAATACTTTGGTCACCTAATGTGAGGAGCCATCTCATTGGAAAAGACCCTGATGCTGGGGCAGACTGAGGCAAAAGGAGAAGGGGGTGGCAGAGGATGAGATGGTTGGACTGATTATGAATCCAACGGACATGAGTTTGAGCAAATTCCGGGAGGTAGTGGAGGACAGGGGAGCCTGGCATGCTGCAGTCCATGGGGTCACAAATGATGCAGTGACTCAACAATAACTACCACCAATCATAAATATATGATAGCTTTTTTCCTATTTGTAGATCTAACTTATCTGTTGTACATCTTTCTTCGCAGTGACTGTCCTTGCCAGATCACACATTCTTTGAAAGCAGAAGTTGGATAACTGTCCTTTATCATAGTCACCAACACATATAGCAATGCATGCGCACACAGTCACACACGTGTCCATGTGTACATATGTATGTCTCTACACATGTTGATGTATTTATATATACACACGTAGTCTATAAAGTATGTGTACAGTATGTATTATAAATGTATATACATACAGTATGGTGCACAGCTATATAAAATACATACACAAAAGCAGATAGAAAGACAGATGGCCCGGAATAAGTTGGAGGGTGGATGAATGAGTGCAGTGACAAAAGAAAACTGGCTGCAGATGCAGGCAGGGAGTGAACTGGCCGAGGTCGGGCAGAGACCTCAGAAGGCCCTGGGCAGCCCCGTCTCACCCATGGATCCCGGCTCCTCAGCAGAGGTTGACCTCACAGCTCCCCTTTCTGGAAGATCAGGTTTAGCGTGGGTCATGGCTCCAGACCATGAAGAGAAGGAGAAAGTGCTCAGCTTCAAGCATTTCCAACCATGCTGCCTCTCGGCTTGTGGCCTGGCGGGTGGCCAGACCCTCGAACCCTCCACTGTTATTAAGACCCCAAAGCTAAGTCTGAACGCTAGGAAAGCAGAGACGCTGGGGTTACCCCCTCAGCTACGGTTGCAGAAGGGAAGGGACCGCTGTGAGAGCAGCTACAGAGGCTGGCAGGACAGGGGGACACAACAGTGCAGACGCGGGGGCTGACTGGGCCGAGGTGCTCAGGTGCTCACGGCCTCTTCTTCCTAACTCCCAGGGGCTCCTGTCACCATCACCCACCAGGGCAGACCCCAGACTCCACAAGTGGAAGGCTCCTTCCCTTGGATGGTGGGGTCCACTCAGGGCACGTGGCCAGTTCCAGGGGCGAGGGTGGGAGTCCAAACCTCGGTCTGCCTGCTGGGTTGAGTGTGACCCGCCTGCCCCGCTGTCCCCAGGCCCCCAACTCCCCGAATACACGGTGGAGACTCATCCGCCTGGGTCTGTCCCCATTGATCCTGGTGGTGCTGAGGGCGCTGGTGTCGCAGGCACGTCCCAGTCAGAGGAGGTCCCAAGGCTAGAGCAAGAGGTGAACGGGACAGAGCTGCACACCCCCTGGGTTCTCTAGGACACATCACGGGCTGTGATGGCAGACAAGTCCTGAGGCTTCTCTGGTGGTGCAGTGGGTAAGGATCCGTCTGCCCAATGCAGGGGACACAGGTTTGATCCCAGGTCCAGGAAGATCCCACACGCCAAGGAGCAGCTGAAGCCGGAGAGCTGCAACTACCAGGCCCACGCCTAGAGCCCGTGATGCACAAGAGAAGCCGCCACAGCAAGAGCCTGCGTGTGCAGCCAAGAGCGGCCCTGCTCAACAGGAAGCCTGCGCATCGCAACCCAGAGCGGCTGGCTCACCGCAACAACAGGAAGCCCATGCGAAGCAACCAAAAGACACAAATAAATACATGAAAATCTAAAAAGGAGTTCTGAAGAGCTGGAGGCATGCGGCATGGAACCCCGTGCTGAGGACCTCATGGCTGGGAAGCCTGCTGGTGCAGGAGGCGCGGGCGGGGCCGGGGACGCTCCGTGGAGGGGGCTTCTCCGCCACCAGGCTGCCCCTCGCCCGCTGTCTGCTCCGCGCGGGACGCTCTTACCCTCCATGCTGTGCCCCGGGGACAGGACACCTCCTCCGCATGAAGGCTGTGTCCCGCCCTCCGCTGTCCCAGCGCCGTGTGCTGCGGACTTTCTGATGCTGGAGCACAGACTACTTTAAACGCCTTCATTTGAAGCCTATTGGCCCCTGGACAAAGTCTCTGACTTAAGACTGTTTTTCCTCCTCAGAATGGCACTCATTGCATGCCGGCTGACAGGTGAGGTTGACCAGAAGTCTGCAAATAATAAATGCAGAGAAAGGGGAACCCTCCTACACTGTGAGTGAGAATGTAAACTGGTGCAGCCGCTATGGACAACAGTATGGAGGAAGGCCCCTCAAAAAAAGCAGAAATACAACTACCGTATGAACCAGCAATCCCACTCCTGGGCATAAGTCCAGAGAGAAGGATGAACAAAGGAAACCACGCCCAGGACATGAAGGCTGCAGCCTGGGGAGGAAGAGAGGGAAAGGGGTTCTGGGAGCGGCCTGGGTCCCTGCCCCGACTCAGGGAGCAGAGCCCAGATGAGGGGGCCTGGAGGGGAGCCGGCCTGCTACATGTAGGGAGCAACATGCGAGAACATTCCAGAAGGCCAACGGGAAGACGGGCGGTAACCAAAGGGCCTCCTGTCCAGGGCGTCTGGTTCCATTGCTCCTTAAGAAAACTTCCCGAATCCTGGTCACAGAGAAAGCTTATTCCTGTTGTTTCCATGACGGTTTTACACTTTTAGATTCTTATTTTTGTACTGTTACAGGCTCCCCAAACTAGATATATCTTTACAATCTCTTAGTTACTGAGGGCTTCCCTTGTGGCTCAGCTGGAAAAGAAGCCGCCCGCAATACGGGAGACCTGAGTTCGATCCCTGGGTTGGGAAGATCCCCTGGAGAAGGGAAAGGCTACCCACTCCAGTATTCTGGCCTGGAGAGTTCCAACAGTCCATGGGGTCACAAAGAATTGGACATGACTGAGTGACTTTCACTCATTTACAATCTCTTGTCTGCAGTATGTGGGCAGAGGGGATGAGTGCAACCAGAAATTAAAACACAGCACTCAGGGATTTCCCTGCTGGTCGAGTGGTTGGACTTCGCCTTCCAATGCCGGGGGTTCCATCCTTGGTTGAGGATGCCATATGAGCTAAGATCACATATGCCTCCCAGCCAAAAAGCCAAAACAGAAAAAGAAACAATATTGCAACAAATTCAACAAAGAGTTTAAAAACAGTTCACATTAAAATAATCTTTACAAAATTTTTTAAATAGCAGATACACCATAGAGCCTCTGAGCCACAAGGCAGTAAGAAAGTCTAGGTGCATCTCCGTACTCTGGGAAAAGAAACAAAAGAATCAGTCGTATTCCGCAGGCATTTCAGAGCAGGGGGTATTATAAACAGTGTGGTTTACATGCAAACGGATGCTTTCGGGAGAAGACAACATGTGGCTACAGAACAAGGTCAGCAGCTGCTAAAGTTATTAAGTGAATGTTTAATGAGGACCGCAGTATGTTCAAACCCTCAGAGAAACAATATCTCCCCGCACACCAGGGACTGGTCACCAAGGGCAAGCAACAGCCTCAGGCTGGGGAAACCCGGGGCACGCCGAGTTCACCCTCAATCACCAATAAGGAGAAACAAGGCCAGCGCGGCCTGGCTGCTACTCCACCCGCAGTGCACGGCCTGCATCTGACCAGAGCGCTCTGGGTCCTCCTTTCTCGGCCGGCTCCCCTTCCCCAGTGCCCCTGGGAGGGGAGGAGCCCCGGGCCTCTGCTCGGGAGACTGATGGAAACCTCACTGCATCCACACTGGCGGCCCCAAGAGGGAGACTCGAGATGAACACGAGCCACGCAAGACCAGCAGGGGCTCAGACCTTGGGCAGGACCCGCTGATCTTCTGACCGTCCAGCCCTGAGCCCGGCATCAGGCTCTCGTCACATGATGGCATATTTGGACCATGCCTGGAGCACACGTCTGGGTTTATGACGGGTGGAAACTGTTTTCTGAAAAATAGGATTCTTACATCTTCTGTGCGGTGGCCTCGGAGACTGACATGTACGAAAATAGCTGCTCGGTTTCCGGAGAATAAGTGCAGATGCTTGGGGGGAGAAAGGCCATCAGACCAGGGAGACTTAGCGCAGCTTAGAGTCACGGGAGGCCTCAGAAGTGGTCAGAGATGTCTGTAGAACCCACCGCCCACTCCAGCCTCAGCCTGCAGAAACCAGGGCCGGGCTCCAGGGAGGGTCAGTCCCCTTCCAGCGGGGATGCTGACCTGATGACCATGTGACAGGAAGCCCCAGCCCCAGAGAGGACACACCCTGTGCTCTGTCTGTCCGGAGGACACCCAGGTCTCCTCCATCCTCACGGCCTGGACCGCAGGGAGGAGACGCCATGGCCCCCACCCTCCCCGCCCTGCTCTGCCTCGGTGAGATGGGGCAGGGGGAGCCCTGGACTGGAGGGACCCCCCACCCAGCCAGCCTGCTCCATCAGGGGACCCCAGGGCCCAGGAGGCTCCCGGGGACGAGAGGCGCTGCTCAGAGCTGAGGGCAGACCTCTCACAGGGCTCTCTCTTCCAGGGCTGAGTGTGGGCCTGAGGACCCAGGTGCAGGCTGGTGAGTCTGTTCCCAGGGCCCAGCTCTCTCCTCTCTTGGGGACAAGGGTCACCCCCAGACCACAGGGAGGGGGACAGCAGCTCGGGGCTCATGGAGGGGGAGTCTGGGAGGCCTGGGCTGAGAGCCGGGGCCTGGGGACGGGGGGCACCTGGTGAGCCCACTCTGATTTCCTTCCAGGGACCTTCCCCAAACCCATCATCTGGGCTGAGCCGGGCTCTGTGGTCCCCTGGGGGAGCCCCGTGACCATCTGGTGTCAGGGGATCCTGGAGGCCCAGGCGTTCCGTCTGGATAGGGAGGGAAGAACAGTTCTCTGGGAGAGACAGAAAGTACTGAAACTCAGGGACAAGGCCCAGCTCACCATCCCACAGATGACCGAGCAGCACGCAGGGCACTATTGGTGCTACTATCTCAGGGGAACTCGCTGGTCAGACCCCAGTGACCCCCTGGAGCTGGTGGTGACAGGTGAGAGACTCTCGGGGGCCTCAGGCTCTGCCCTCGGGAGGGGGTCTGCTCTCAGGGGGTGTCCCTCTCACAGCCCAGCCCTGGGGGGCAAGGGGGGAGCCCCACGGATCCAGCTGCCTCCTTCTCTCCTAGGATCCCATGGCAAACCCAGCCTCTCAGCCCTGCCGAGCCCTGTGGTGACCTTGGGAGGGAACGTGATCCTGCAGTGTGGCTCCCGTCAGGGATTTAACAGGTTCCTTCTGACCAAGGAAGGAGAAAATGAGTCCTCTCAGACTCTGGATGGACAGCGGAGCCCCGATGGGCAGACCCAGGCCCTGTTCCCCGTGGGCCCCGTGAGCCCCGGACATGGGTGGACGTTCAGATGCTACGGCTTTAACAGGGACACCCCCCAGGTGTGGTCAGCCCCCAGCGACCCCCTGAAGCTCCTGGTCTCAGGTGAGGAAGTCCCGACCTGACCCCACATTTGTGCAGACAAGACAACGTACTCGGGTCTCTGCTCCCAGGGGAGCCCCTGTGAGGGGGGCAGTGAGCGTGGTGCTCACAGGACAGACACACAGACAGACGGCGAGGCCTGGGGCTGGGCCGGGAAGGGCGTCCACGCGGGATGCGGCCCCAACAACCCGGCACCTGTCTCTCCCCAGGGCTGTCTGGGAAGCCGTCCCTCCTGACCCCGCAGGGCCCTGTCGTCACCTCTGGACAGAACCTGACCCTTCAGTGTCGCTCTGACATGGGCTACACCAGATTCGCTCTGTCCAAGGAGGGGGGACAGGACCTCCCCCAGCGCCCTGCCTGGAGGGCCCAGGGGGGGCTCTCTCAGGCCGACTTCCCCCTGGGCCCGGTGGGCACTGTCCACGGGGGCCGGTACAGATGCTATGGTGGACACAGCCTCTCCTCTGAATGGTCGGCCCCCAGTGACCCCCTGGAGCTCCTGGTGGCAGGTGAGGGGCCAGCGGGTCAGTCGGGGGCCAGAATCTGCACAGGCCCCACCGGGGAGCCCCAGGGGTGATGCTTGGACCAGGGGAGGGGTCCCAGGGAGGGGACAGCAAGACGGGGTGGGGGAGGGGGAGACTCGGAGAAACAGACGGCGCTGAGGGTCCAGAGAGACCGCGGAGTCCCGCTCAGAACCAGGGCCGGGCCCGCACCCCCTTCCTCTCTGCAGGATGGCTCAGAGACAGACCCTCCCTCTCGGCGAGGCCGGGCCCCTCGGTGGCCCCGGGGGAGAACGTGACCCTGCTGTGTCAGTCAGGAGACTGGACGGACACCTTCCTTCTGTCCCAGGAGGGGGCAGCCCATCGCCCCCTGCGTCTGCGCGCCCAGGACCAAGGCGGGCGGTTCCAGGCCGAGTTCTCCTTGAGTCCTGTGAGCTCGGCCCACGGGGGCACCTACAGGTGCTACCGCGCACTCAGCACAGAGCCCCACCTGCTGTCACGGCCCAGCGAGCCCCTGGCGCTCCTGGTCTCAGGTGAGGCCCAGTGGTCAGCTCTGAAGGAGCACCCCTTTCTAGGGTGGGAGTTGGCAGGCTCCAAAGAGAGCCAAGGAGGGTCACGCAGATGAGGACCCAGGCTTCAGAGGGAAGGAGGGAACGTTGCCCCCACGCCCTTTCCCACATCCTGTCACTGGGCTTCTCAGGGGAGGGGGGAGGAGGCAGAGAGCCAGGAGCAGCCACGGGGCAGATTCAGAGATGTGCTGAGCAGAGTGGGTCCCAGGTAGCCGCAACCCCTTCCCAGCCACAGGGGACATTTAGAATCCTGGGGACCCCAGCCCCCTGACAGGGGTAAAAATAACAGCTCCTGAGACAATGGGGTCTCTGTAACGTGAGGGACAGCTGGCCCCAGGCTTCTCCCCGGTCCTGGGCTGATCGAACTCAGTCTCAGCACACCTGGTGTCCTGGGGGTGGTGCTGGAAGTTGGGCAGAACAGCAGGGCAATTGCAGCCTCCAGGGGCTCTGAGGCTGATGGATGAAGGGTCAGGGGTCATGGAGCGGGAGATGCTGGGGCCAGCCTGGTGAGGGGAGCAGCAAGGCTGAGGAGGGGAGAAGCAGCCCCACCCTCACCCCTTCCTGATCCCACAGGAGGTTCAGAGGATCAGTTTGCCCCTCAGTGGACTGAGGAACTGCAGAGTAAGAGTGAGGGTCTTGGGGAGGTGGTCATGGGTCCTGGGGGGCTGGCTGAATATGCCCCCGGTTCAGGCGCCTCTGGAGACTCTGATGTGGACCCCCTCACCCTCACCACACCCGGGCGTGGACCTCAGCTTCTCCCAGTGTAAAAGGAGAGGCCTGTGGCCCAGACTGTAGATGTCCAGGTTCTGACCTGGGTGTGACCCCCATCGGGCGAGGAGGTGACTGTGGGACCTGTCCCCTCCGCTGCAGCGTGGTGATGGCGTGTGGGGGGACCCAGAGGCCCCTCACGCAGCCCGCCCCTCCCCCCGCCCCCGCTGAGGTGGGGGAGCGGCGGGGACCAGGGAGGACCCTCAGCTCCAGCTGAGACCCTCGGGCAGCCCCCTCAGGCGAGGGGCCCCCAGAGCAGGAAGCTGGTGTCCTCCTGGGGGCCAGCTCAGGAGGCGCTCGGGGCGCCCACGGTCCTGGTTCCAGTCCCGGCTCTGCCCCGTCCAGGCTGGGTCACCAGGGCCATGATCTCCGTCTCTGTGCCTCAGTTTCCTCGCCTGTAAAACGGGTGGGATGGGTTGGAGATGGAGGCACAGACCCCAGCAGGAGTCCGCACAGAGCAGGTGCTCAGTCAAACGGCATCACTGGCTCACTCAGACGTCTCTGGTGCCCCAGGCCTCACCTGGTACCCGAGTGTCCTCATCGGGGTCTTGGTGACCTTCATCCTGCTGCTCCTGGTCCTCCTCTTCCTCTTCCTCCGACGCTGGGGTTGGGACAGACGCAGGAACTCGGGTGAGTAGGGAACGGGGTGAGCAGGGCCCCTGGAGGCCGAGGAGCTTTGGGCTCCACTCAAAGGGAAACCTAACAAATGGGAAGGTCAGCTTAGAAAACATCGTCCAGAGACTGATACTCGAAAACTCAGAAAGAAAACACCCACTGTCAGCCCACGAGCACTAATTTAAGCCATCTCCCTCCTTCTCAACGTCACGAGCTGAAACACGCACCACGAGCCCAGGCTGCCTCCTCTCCTCCTGAATCCCACGTGGAGGGCGGGGTCACCACCTCCCCGGGGCTGAGCCTCTGCCCCCCTGAGGCTCTCGGGAGGGTGGGGGACCACACAGCACGCACCCCAGGGCGCAGGGGGGGGCTCCAACCCTGAGGCTCTCGGAACCCCGCCCAGCGGTCCCCCTGCTCTGCTGCAGATGCTGCCGTGAGCGACGCACAGTCTGAGGTGGGGCTGCAGCTGGACCATCGGGTGAGACCCCTGCTCCCGTCCGTCCACCACAGACCTCCTGGTGCCAAACTCAGCCTAGCACACGCGTCACTGTGCTCACACCCCAGCTCCAGCGCGCCCACCCTGACCCCTCCTTCCCAGCTCCCGGGTCCTGCCGTGACCCCAGCCTCCCCTTGCCCTGTGACCTCACGGCCCCTCCTTCGGGGCGCCTTTCCCAGCTCCGTGTTCTCTGACTGACCTTCTGGTGTGGGGGTGCAGCCCCAGGTCTCAAGAGGACGCGTGCATCAGTGGACCGCCCACATGCCCCAGGCCCCCCTCCTTCACCCCCCAGCAAAGGGCATGGGAGTGCGGGGACCAACCCCTGGCCCTGCAGGTAAGGCGGGCACTCACCTTGTGGTGAGAGGGGCCCCACGCCAACAAGCAGGTGGATCCCAGAATGCAAGGGCCTGACGAGGAAAGGAAATCACGAGACGGGACTGGGCGCACGGGGTGGGCACTCGGTAGGAAGGCCCTGAGGCAGGAGGGACGCACTTTAGCAGGAAGACAGCCATGTGCCCAGGCAGATGAGCAAGAGGCCAGGGCTCAGACAGAAACCAGGGCCGGACAAAGCACCCGGAGGCTCCCGGGCGTCAGGAGGCCCCTGGAGTTTCCATCAGGAGAGTGAGCTGACCTGATCTGAGGTTCCAAGCCTCATCTGGGCACAGAGGGAAGCTGGCTGGAGGAGGGGCGGCGGGCCCAGGAGGCGCCTGTCCTGTCTCAAGGTCTCCCTCCAGCAGAACAGGTGGGAGGCAGACCCCCAGGAGGGGACGGGCGCCCTGTGAACCCCCGAGATCAAGACGAAGGCGGGAGGTGCCCCCCTCTCCTCCTGGTCGGGGGGATTCCGGGAAGGATGGACAGACGCACAGCACATGGGTCCCTCCTCTCCTGGCCCCCAGGCGCCCCATCTCACACACCTTTCCCCCCACCCCGCAGGCTGCCACGTCCGAAGCCCCCCAGGATGTGACCTACGCCCAGCTGAACCACTCGACCATCGGGAGGGGGACGGCCGCAACCCCCGGCCCCCCAGCGGGGGAGCCCCCAGCAGACCCCAGTGAGTACGCTGCTCTCACCATTCGCTAGCCCAGGAAGGACCCGGACCCCAGGATCAAGGGACCAGATCTCAGGAACCCCAGGAGGCACGGGAGCGGCCAACAATGGACACCACGGAACGACCAGCAGCCAGTCCCTGGTCTCCTAACAGACCACCAGGGGCCCTGGGACCCTTTCGGGTCAACCTGTTCTACCCTCAAAGATAACCAATATCCTGACATTTGGGAAATAATGCAACAGACCTGCCTAAAATCAGTGTGCGGATGAAAAGTAAACTGGATCCGAGCTCTACTCCCTTCTGGAGGCTGAAGGGGACAGTCTGACTCAGTGTCTTGGAATAACAGAATTTATTATGCTGGTGGGAATCAGGCTTCCTGTCTGCTGAGGGCCCTGCCCAGCTTCCAGAAGCTGTCCCAGTCCTTGCCTTGGGAGTACTTGCCTCGTCTTTGAAGCCCAAACGGGAGACGAGAATTGCTGCCTCTCCCTGACCTCATCCGCTGCTTCCCTCTCCCACTGTTGAGTACGCGTGTAACTCTTTGGACTCCCTTAGCTAATTTAGGATCATGTCCCCTT